ACAGACGTGAACGTAGTCATACCCTTGCAGTTGGCTTAAAAGAATGAAAAAGAACAGATAAGAAGGAGGCAACCTTACCCATCTTCTGCTGACAGAGATGAAGAGAGGAAAGTTGTGATCAAGGCTAAGTAAGTGGCTCCTTCTTGCATGTTGTGTGCTATCAGGTGGCACATAGTAGTTTTAAACACCACCAATTTCCAAAACTTTACTTTTTATGTTGACTGTGATGACAGGATTTCCTATTTTGAATGCTTATCGGTTGACTAGCATTAAGCGAAGGCACTTGCACTGCAAACAGCTTTGAGCCAACGATTAAATAGCCACTTATGGTAAACGATGCTCTGCCTTACAGCCATAATATGATCACTTCGCAGTTCAGGTGTCACCCACTTCTTTGTCTCCAAAACACTATTCATGTATGTATAGGAGGATAGATGCGATGTTTTAGTTGCTGATAACAGCTGGTGGTCCAAATGTATGCTCATTCGGAACCAAAAAAGACTTTGTACCAGCATCCACTCCATCATTCACTTGTTTGGCAATAGATTTCCTTACTAGCCTTTAGTTGTGCCTGAACTACTGGCCGCGCAAAACTAGCTCACAGACTGCTAAGCTGAATTCCGTCATAATTCATTTGACTGTCAGTGATTTTGGGAGATAAATGTTGGCAAGATTTTTACGTGGATGAAAGGGCACATTGACTCACTAACTAATGCAGTGCCAGTGATTCCACTTCTAAAGTAAAAGGGTCATCACTACAAATTATTAAGTGTTTGGACTGACCCTAGTAAGTAGTGAGTCTTCTGCAGGCAAGGAAAACTAGTGAGATGCATGCTTCGGCTAGAAAACCAAAGTTACTGCAAGGGAAGACAATTCTATCATTCGTTGGTTGCTGACACCCATGTGGACGTCATAGAGAACCACTGCAGCGAATAAATAAGTCCACACTGCGTGCTTGTTTTACAATGGCCTAAACTTTTTCCATAATCCGCATAGTGTATTCCAAACAATGCAATGAATTTTTATACATTTGTTGCCTGAAAAATGAGATGTTTGCAAATAGCCTTTGCAATACAAAATTATTAGTGTCCTTTCGATCAGGGTTAAGGTTTAACGCGAATAACTGGGCTAAGTTGATGGTACACATCTCTACCTCCAAAATCCTATTCCATTTAGGACTCTGGACTCACCCTAATTTGTTTTTGCTTGTAATACAAAGGCACCTATTTTACACTTTAAAACTAGATGAATTCTAACAAGAAAGGAGTAGTTTTGGTATGGATAAGTGACTGTGACTTCAATTAGAATGAAGGTGAGTGGATGGGAATAGAACTAAGTAGATAAGAGGAAGACGTACTGAAAGGAAACACTATACTCGTTAAACTGCTATCTTGTCTTCCATGGCTCACTTTTTTGCGACCTAGCATCTAAGCGAAGTCTATTTAACCGAAAGTACCAAGAATAAGCTCGCAATTTTCATTGTCAACTAGACTAGTAAATCCAATGATACCATTCTGCTTAGAAAGTACACTAAACTCAACCATTCCGTGCATAGTGTAGACGGGTGGATTACCCTGCTTTAAATGCGTCATCAGCTAGCGGATAAGTGCTGCCACCTTTGGAGGCTGCAATACTTGCTATACTCCTCCTAAAGAATGCTGGTCGTAA